ATGCTCAGCGAAAAGCCGTTGGACCAAAGTTGGGTGGGTTATCGTTTCAGATTCCCGATCATCCTGTTCTCTAACTTTTCTTACGTCTACAGTCCAGTCCCCCTTCACCCCATCCCTTGATCTCAACAACCCAAAGTTTGATGTTGAAACAAATTATAACACGAATTTTACACGATGCTGTCACACTATTTACGATTTCCATGTTCCGGATTCGGTTCGGATTTCGGATCGGATTTCGGATCGGATTTAGCGATACACATCGGATTCGGATTCGGATTCGGATTCGGATTCAAAAATTGCCACCGGATTCGGATTCGGATGGAATTCAAAATAGCCATCGGATTCGGATTCGGATTCGGATTTTCAAAAATGCTGTCGGATCGGATTTTTGGTTCATGTCGGATCCGACGCACAGCACTACTGCGAGCGCATCCCCTGAAAAAGTTGTGCAAAGCAACGTTTCGGCTACAGGCTACACACTGAGGGTCTTTCTTATTTATTAATTTAAGAGCAGAAGGATTGCAAGATCTTATAAACGACACAGTTTCAGTTATAATATGGACGAATTTGTCCTAAAATAAATATCGTTCGGTTAAATAGCATTTGGGTATAAACATAATTGCACTTTTGTGATTAACCCTCGGTCTGTAACATGCTAAATAAATTGGCAAATGCGCAACTTTTTCAGGGTAGCAGCACATTCAGGGGTGTCATGTCAGCACCTAAAAAATAAAGATTTCAAAATTCAATGTTGTTCTATGACAAACGTGAATGTGTAATTATAGAAATTTGTAGGTATATGCTATTATTTATGCATTTACTATCATAAATTAATATACTCTAAAATTCTAGGGGAACATATCCCTTTAAAGCTCCGGCAGTTTCCTGGTGAGTAATTTTGGAAACTTTCCATTTCTAGAAACGCCTGATGATTACCTACAGCGCTGGGAAACGTTTGTGACTGGTGCCTTAGCTGAAATCAACAAAAAGAATGTCCCTGACAAGGTACAGATCATACGTAACATCTTTATGAATGTTAATCTGATCGTTAAACAATTTCATTGTTTTTACAAGTTTAAAACATGCTTAAAGAGCATTTAAATATGACAAATATATGTTTAAATATTTCTCATAATTATATGTTACCAATAAAGGTGAAAAATCCTTTACAGAAATCTTAGGTGTTGGAAGGTGGTGGGATACCTCAGAAGGCCCTGACATATAGAATAATGCTTTAAACGAGATTAGTAAAACTAGTAAATATTTAGTGCTATAAAACAAATTGCTTATATCAGAAACTAAGAAGATTGCATTTATTTCACGTTTTTTTTTCTTGTACAGATAATTTCTAACCAAGTGCACACAAGTAGTGAAGATGACAATGCAGATTACAAAGACATTCCTTTTCATCAAGATACTGCATTACAACAGGTATTATTCTTTGCTGGTGTTTTAGTATAGTTTTCATCTCCTACAGCTACGTGTTTACTGTGTACTTAATCATGGATTTGTGTTTGTGCGTAGCAACAGCGTATTTCGTGCGTTTGATGTGTGGCCGAAATACAGGAAGGTTACGTGCGGGGCTGCTGTCGTGCATCGTCCGTCACTGCCACGAGAGCGCTCCGGATGCATGATGTCGTCGTGGTTCGTGCAAATCTAAATATTACATTCCACGTAGTTTGCCTGCTTTCAGTCGTTCAACGATTATCGGACGCAGCAAATGACGAGCAACTTCCCGGAGCAGTTTGGCTACAGCGAGGAGGAATTCGCGGAGCAAGAGGAGCACATCAGCGCCCCCTTAGACAAAATTCCAAACCTGAACTTCAACATCAGCGCCGATGAACCGGTGGGTATCTTTAGATAGAAAATGCACTCGCATTCTCATTCTCTATACCCTTTTTTCTAACCGTCTTATGTAAAAATTGGCATCTGAATGCATGCATTTTTTATCATTGCACAACAATCAATTTTATTATTGCACAACGTGGCTTTCACATGCATGTGAAAGCCATGTTGTGCAATGATAAAATTCAGCGATTAGTGGATGCAAAAGTTCTCTTAATTGGAATTTCCTTTATTATTGTTTCAGTACGTATTTAATTATTCAAATTTCAGAAAAGCATCTCGACTAAAAGCAAATAAGATTTCAGTGGAGTTAAATGGAACTCTTCGTTGTCAACACTGTTCAACACTGTCAAATTTGTTAGGTGCACTTGGCCAGTCATGATTGTAATTGTGATTGATTTGATAAGGTCTGTTACATGAAAACCTCTAACAACAACAGCATAAACAACCTAATAACAGCAAGAATGAACAGTAAGTAGTTCACTTGATCTAGGATTGAAACCAGATTTCATTATTAGATGTTTAACGGTAACAGCAACCTCCATAATGATGCTTTCACACATTTGCGAAAATGTGGGATGTGACGTACACGTTGTATAACAATAATTATTAAATAGTATAAAACTAATATAATTCTCATCTGATTTCCATAGTTTTACTTGTGTATCCATTTCAGCCAGGAAACGAATCCCTGTTCGACCAAATAGCCAGTGCCCGTTTACAGCCCTTTGATGATCCTGACTCGGACGAGGAGTGGGAAGAAAAGCAGATAACATTTTCACCTGATCTGCAGAATAATACAGCTAGGTATAACTAATTAGTTCACTATTATTAGACTAACCAGTGAGTTTATTTATGATTTGTAATGTCACAGTCGTAGAATTTCTACTTGAAGTTATTTAGGAAATACGTGCAACATTTACCGAAAGCATTTCTATTCAACTCTGTGTGGTACGTTACAGAAGTAAAATCTTATATTAAAGGTTCTCCTATTTAGGTGTATACAGTATACATGATTCTTATGCTATGCAGTGCTCCAGTGATGTAAAGTAATCCAAAGAGTATGATTGAAACTAGAACTATTCGCAGGACAGAATTTTTCATTTGTTGATTTCGTTCGTTCGTTTTGCTCAGCAAACTTTCATCGACGATCCACACATCCAGTAGCAGCGAGTCAGATAGTTCGGACTGCGATGATGAAACATCCGGTCCCAAACAGATCGTTTCCAAACCGTCCAACGGTGAAGAAAGGATGGAGATAGAAGGCGTCGATAGTAAGTCGCGTGCGCTCTCATACCTCTGGGGATACGTATATGAGTTACGAAGTCACAGGGCGGCATCAGAATATTTACATTGTGTTCAACTTCCTTGGATACTCGTGGATAAAAACGTGCATGCATTACTCACATCAGTCTGTGCCACTGCTCATTGGTGAGCAGCACTAAACAGCTAGTGTGTGCTATGAGTTTTTCTGTGTCTGAGTGTGACATATCAATGTTATTGTGCCTTAGATGTGACTCCAAATGGAGACGAGGTGCCCATGGCAGTTGACAGTTCTTCCCCGTGGCAACCGAATGCGAACTTGTCATGGGAATCTGGCAACAATATGTCAAACCCATTCGATTCATCAACCTCATCTGCAGAAGAAGAGTTGAATGATTCCACGGGGAAGAGTTGGGCCGACTTCTCCAATATGGATTCTTCCGATAGTCTAAGTAACAGGTATAATGAGCGGATAATTAATTATGATAAAATAGGGTATAAGATTTCAGATTTGATATCGTGCTGTACAACTCCCGGGCTATTAAAGGCATACTAGGTCCATTGATTATGCAATGTTTACGAATGTTAGAGTAACTGGCACCTTGTGTGGTTAATAAGTACATAACCTTACATCCAAACGCGTATTAGTTTGTCCAATATCACTGCTGGTTACTAAGAAATGTCTAATTGAAATCCACAGTCCAAGAAATCGGATGTTTACAGTTTCAAACCGCTGGCAGCGGGTGTGATACAGATTTATAGTGCACCGGACATTTTTGCACGCATGCTCGGCCGTACGCAATGCTATCATCAGTGATTTCGTAAACACGGACGCTCGTGATAAGGAACCTGTTGTCAGGGCTGTCCGTGATTCGTACGTGTGTTTTACTCCATTTCCATGTTTAGTCCATGGCCGTGGTTACACCGCTGACACCTCCATTTCATCTAGCATCCAAAACATACGGGTTGCACAAATGTCTACGTCATCGCTTGACTACTGGGTGACATTTACGGCACGTAAATCAATATCAACAACCGAATTCAAGTCTTGCTTGTAATGTAACCAGCAGTGATATTGGACAAACTAATACGCGTTTGGCTATAAGGTTATGTACTTATTAACTACACAAGGTGCCAGTTACTCTAGATTCGTCAACATTGCATAATCAATGGGCCTAGTATGCCTTTAAGGCTTGCTATTCTTTACTAACGTTCACTATCAAGTTCAGCAGTGTGGGAAATTTTATTTTTAATGGCAGTCATGGTATATGAGCAACATAGAAGTGTATTTGCTTTTAGCAGCTTGGAACATAGTCCAAGGAATAGTAGCCCAATTGAAATGGACACGGAGGTTATATCCACTACGCATAACACTAAAACTCCATCTTCCTCTGCAGAGAAATATGGTATGGCGATATTTTTTGCACTAATGGTGTATTCCCTTTGAATGACAATATATAAAATGGCTTGGCGAATGCAACTGAGATTACATCGTATTTGCTAAAAATTATTGTTTGACATTGTAATGTATATCAACCTGTTATTATTGATAATTATCTACATTTTCATCACATTTTTTATTCTATAAATTGGTTGGTGTCATGTGGATACCTAACGTTCACATAGTAGAATCCTTCAGCATGGTAAAGGTTCTGATGGGTTACACATGTGAAACGGATATAGATTTCAGTTTAAAGCCAGGTGCCCGTTGTCAGAAACAAAATTGGTCTTAACACTAGTCTTAACATTAACTTTTTCTCTTAGACCGTTGACAGAAACGCTGCGAAGTTATGAGAATGGAAAATCAGATTTTCTCATAACAATACTAAACAAAGTGATGTCGACGGTCTAGGAGAAAGTGTTAATGTTAAGACTAATGTTAAGACTAATTTTGTTTCGGATAACGGGCCCCAGGATTGCGAACATTATTTCCAACCAGTCTCGTGTTTTCCACACTTTTACGACACTTGCCATTATTGCTAAACAGCAACTGTCTAGAGTAACGCTAACATGTCTTAGAACCTTCGTTCATGGCTATATTCACCAAAACATGCACGATCCGAGTTTTGATTATCACGGCCATTTCTTGCGAATCTCGCGATAGCGCCAGCTATCATCCAATTTCAAAATAGAAACGGAAACGGAAACTACACAAAATCAGATGCCCTTTTGTTTGAATTAGGTGCACTATGGGTGCACTTGTAACTTGTTGGTAGACTAAGGCACCATTTGCAAATTCATCGTCGCTATAATCAAATGTGCCATGGTGTTACGGCATGTTCAATTCCATTTTTCTATGCCATAACAGCATAAATTCTTTGAATTCTGCGTTTTGGAGCAATGTTTTCGCAATAAACCCTTTAAAGTACTTGATTATTAATGCCTTCTCCTCACATATACATGTCCCAATTGTGCCTTATCACATTTTTAACACTATTGTATTTTGACCACAGTTGTAGGAAATTCGTTAACAAATGAGAGCAGTAATGATGATGAAGAAGAGGAGAGTAAGATCGAACCCAATGAGAACTCCTGCAAATCAATTCAGCTCACAACGTCACAATGGTAAGGCACTTGTGTTCATGTGTACTTGGAAAAATATATATTTATATAAATTGCAAGCATTGTGAAACATAATTATAATTGCTGTCGTAATACATACTCTAAAATGACCTGTATTCTGTACATTATTTGAGCCGTATGTGATGGCATGTATCACAAATCTTGCAGCAGCACTTGTGAATCGGGAGATTGCTGTGAAACATGCCCGCCATGTGAAATCAAGAAAAGCAAACCAAACGGACCTTCATCAGAGGTTGAAAATGATGCCACGGTTGAAAGTATACCTGAAAAGTAAGTAGCACTACACTTCTGCTATCATTAGGTTCTTGCTGTGTTTTGAACAACCAAGTATCAGTAATGTAGACCAAATCTGCCTACTGCAGTATTACAGATATAAGCTTGTTATTATGCAAGCATGCCAAAATCATTCGTTAGAATTTTTATTATGAGAGATATTGAAGTGTATTCTTGATAGAACATCTTGAGTCACTAATCCGTGGTTTATAGTACTGTGGATGCAACGCATGACGTTGCGAGTGACTTGTAGGTTTTTTACAAGTGCGTACGTTTTTAATCGCAGCGGAAAGTGCGTGGTATCATCACCGCCTGCCTCGCCGACCCAGCTACCATTTGTACCAACGCCCGAGCCCAACAATCCGTTATGATGGTGTCGGCCCAGTAGTCATACTGTATACAGGATTGCTTCAACCATGACGGCTTGCGTCCTCCGTGCAAGTTTCTCTGAAGTTTACGGGCTGTTGTAACAACTGTGATCTGCCTGCCGCATGGGATTTCGATGAGTCTTTTTCACCATCACCGTATTTATAGAGACACAGCAGGCTTGACACCGTTGTAGCGAGAGATAAGTATTTCAGCCCTAATTAAATTTCACGACGGGTGCCCCAATTAGGAAATGGTATAAAGTTGAAACCTTTTTATAACTGCATGCTTTCATATGTTTTACGGTGCATCGTACATTTTTTAGTTTTCCATGTTAACCTTGCCAGGCAAGGTATATATCTGTTCATAGTAAGGTACAATCTGAATATTTAAGATTTTATTTTTTGTGGGTCTTTTACAGATGCAAACTTTGTAAATATGAGCATTGGTAACCCAATTTCTTTAAAAAAAAATCGAGAGCTCTCTTCCAATGTGACAAGCATATAAATAAGTCCTGAAGTGTTTTTGAAGATGAGTGTATTAAAATTATTCGACTTATGAAAGTTTGATATTTAAACAGAAGTCTCATTAATGTCGTGGCTCGTGTACTTTTGGGATAGTTGTAAATTTGTGAGAGATTGCTTATATTCAGGAATCCCAATTTGAGACCTTTGAAACGTGTGGTATACAGCAACGAATCACTTTCTGATAAGAGATAGTGCATAATTTTTGGGACATTTTAAAGATGATTAAGATTTGCTGATTGTAGTGATTACATTCAGAAAAGGCTCTATTTATTGAACACGTTAAATTGTGAAATGTTTATAACAGAAAGCATGCTACTGGAATTGTTTTACAGACTTGCAGAAGCTGTACTGTTTTTCTCGTTTCTTCCACAAGCTTTACTCTCTTTGAGTCGATTGTGAAGTAATAATTTGATGTTGGAAGATGAGTGTATCATTTCAGAAGCTGCAAGAGGCTGACCAAGTCTGACTATGTCTATACTCCAAACCAGATAGTATTGTAAGGATACGTGCGCACTGTTTTATATAAGGAGACTGACAGGCAACTCACGGATGTCCGTGTTGTCTGAGCTGTGTTGTTTTTGTCTATTAGTCTGTTCCCAGTGGCATCTTGTCAGAGTCTGTGTGATGATTTTTAACTTTCGTGAATGGCTAGACGGCCTCAATTTAATATCCTTCACCATTTATGCACATTTTCAGAAATTGCTGGAATGCTTGAGTTAAAAATGCCGTACATCTCTCCCGCGCAATATCTTATGGAAAGTGTTGCAGCTGTTGCAGCAGATGCTGAGACTTGTATCTTTAGTAGGCTAGATATCACCCACTGTTTGGATGGTAATGATCCCACCAATTGCTTAAATTTTAGTAGCAAGTGTGCTTCTCAGTGCTGTAAATCTGCATCCTGCGGTTATGTCCCAAGGGTACCACTTCAGCCTGTGCGTGCTTGCGTGCGTACGTGTGTGTGTGTGTATGGTGTATGTGTGTGCGCGTGTGCGTGCGTGCGTGCGTGCGTGCGTGCGTGTGTATGATGTGTGTATGTGTGCGTGCGTGCGTGTGTGTGTGTGCGCGCGTGTGTGTGTGCGTGGAAGTGATTCGGTATGTGTGAATGTCTGCGAATGTGTTAGCTAGTGCATACTATGTGTGTGCTTGCACGTGAATGGAAGCGTGTGACTGTGTTGGTGGATGCGATGTGTTCGTTGATATCGTAGCTTTTGATACCACTGATGGAATTGATATGCTGCTTGTTTTGTTACACGACTAGTTATAAGACGAAGAAATAATTATCACAAAGTTCGAAGATTGCAGTCTTTTAATTTCTGACGATTAGAGGGCACAATTGACATTAGAAATTGTGTTGGCATACTGTGCAAGATTGTAAAAGTTGTACAAAGAATAGTCACTGTACAGCAAATGCTTAATATGATTAAAACCGATTTGTATGAAATGTTAGAAATCTAAATAAAATGTCATAGTATTACATTTCAGAAAGACATTCGTATGAGCTTTCTATTGAACGAAGCAGCTACGACATGCGCATGGGAATTACTAATTACATGAAAGCTATCTACTGTGCAGTTAATGTACATTTAAGCTCGAAACTGCGTTCCCTGACTACGTTTTGAGTTAACCCGTCCAAAATATTTAGAGATATGATCGTACAAATCGGAACAACCATGGAACCATAAGTGACACAGTGGCGACTAGCAGTTTTTTAGGGTGCATAGAGAACGCGCTGTTACATAGATCTGAGTGGCACCAGCATTTTACGGTCCCAGACTCTCGTGGGTCCAGTTCCGTCTCACATTGGTCATAGCCTATGCCGTGTATATAATCGAGGCACATGCGTTTGTACGTCTGTACTACACCTGAAACAATTCCAATACACTGTTTGCGAACTGGAGGGCGATTAACAAAACTCGTATAAATATTTTACAGCCGGGGTGGCATCGGTTGGCCTGCTTCGATGGTACTCGTTGTACACTGTAAATACTGAACGTTTTCAAATTAATGGAAGCGTGGCCTAATTATGCGTCATTTTATTAGAAAAATCTGTAATATGAACGTTGGTGGGTAGCTTTTTGTTATATTATCCAGAATATACCTTCAATGTAGAAAGCTTGCTTCAGACACGAGAGACACTTTGTCTTTATTGCGTCTTCGTCTTCTACTGGGTCAAGAGTAAACGGTTTGCCGCATCCCTCCCTCTCTCCTAAATCCTCTTTATACATGCAGTCGTAACATCGAAAGTGTTGACTCCAAACGCCCTCTAGAAGAAACTTCTGTGTTGTTATTTATTACTCACCGTTAACTTACTGTTGCATACTCTGGAGTAAATCCCAAGCCACTATGGGCTATTTGGTTAGTACATAGAAGCTATAATATAGGTAAGTTATTTTCTCCTGGTAGAGTAAAAGAGAACGGACACATTTCGGTTATATCCGCAGTGTTTTCTCATTATAACTATAAGCATTTATCATTGATACAGTCTATTAGCTATTTTGAAAAAGAGGTGGGAACGGGTATTTTCGGGACGCGGGATTGGCCATTTTAATTACCTGGGAACTGGGAAATGTCAGATAAATTTTCCGTGATTCGGGAACAGAAGTCCATCGGGACGTGGGAAAGACCCTCTAAAATTGTCTGGGATCTGGGAAAATTGTGTCAATTCGTCGGGATTTCAATTTCTGCGCTAATATTTTTAATCTTTTTTTTAAATTAATTTATTTTTAGCCAGAAGATTTATGTAGACCCCAGATAAATAATAGTATGTAAATATTAGTATTTATGTAGTGTTTGAAAACCTAAACTACTGAATTTCCTGAAACATGTCTACATAATTTCCTGGGAACTGGGATATGGGGTGTTTTTTTGCTGGGAAAGTGGGAATGTACCCCCCCCCCCGTTCCCCCCTCTGAAAAGGATTGCCTTCTGCGTATTTTGATTCGTTCGTTCACGCCATTGATATATATAAACACGATGATCAATATGATCAATACATCACACATATGATCACTACATCACACATATATTACACATATGATCAATATGATCACACATATGATCAATATATATAATATATATGATATATATATATATGTGTATTGATATGATTTCTATGGTTCACGCCACGGCAGCCATGTTATTTCGCGATCAAAATTTATAATTTAACTGTTCGTTTAATTCCCTCTTTCGATAATTCCATCAATCGTCTCTATTTGTTGAACACATGTTACCACGGATGTGTGATGAATTACATGTGATTAATAAATTATATAATATTTTTAATTGCGAGATATGAGGGTCTGAAAAGACACGAAATGTCAAAAAAATGACTCCGCTTTAACGTGTGAACGTGAAGTGGTTCTGGCGGAATATCAGGGAGGTATATAACTCAGAAATTTGTGAATATAATTTCAGAAACATGTAAAGACCTTTGATTTAATTGTCCATTTTACCGGGTATAATCTTAAAATTCGTCGCGTAAACGGTTCTTTCTAGTGTAATGTCGTAATGTGCAGACTCACCTATAAGCAGCCCAGTCAGCAACCAATATATCGCGAATGTTGAATAAACTTTGCCGTTCATATCCACGCCTATTGCTATAGTAAATCTTTCATGAAATATATAGAAATGACGGTTTCTTAAGTTGCTGCACCAAACGCTGCAAAGGTCCAATGATATGCGTAGTATATTATTCTGTTCTTGTTATTGCGTCCACGCGATTGGCTGTGTACGTGACGTAGGGTTGTATTTCAACCGGCTGCTGTCAGGTACTATATAACCTTTGTACTGGTAAATAATATGTTACATGTTAAACGCATGAGCTGGTGTAAACATGAGAGGGTGAGGTGAGGGTTGTGGATATAAGGTAGAACTATCGTCAGGTGAAGGCAAGAAGCGGTAGTCTGGGACATGCGTGGGCGCCATGAGGAATTAATGTAAAATCCAAATAGATCCCCCTGTCTCGCTCTTCTCTTTCTCTCCATCTCTCTCTCTCTCTCTCTCTCTCTCTCTCTCTCTCTCGCTCTCTCTCTCTCTATCTCTCGCTCTCCATATATATATAATATGAAAGAAATGAATATAAAAATAGAATGAGGTGTCAAATCATTTTCTATATATATTTATGTGTGTATGTGTGCGTGCGTACGTACGTGTGTGTTTGTGCGCGCGTGTGTCTTATTCTTTCTACCCCTTCTCTTCTCTCCCCTCTTTCTCGTATATCTCATTCCCCTCTTTCCCGCTCTCCCTCTTAATTTATTTATCATTATGTCCTCTCTGTCACCTTCCCCACCGTTCTCCCTCTCTATACCTCCTCTGCCTCGTCCACTTTCTCCCCATCACCTACCTCCTCGACCACCGCCCCTTCCATATATACTCAACTTCCCATCTATCCTCTTTATTTCTTCTACCGTCCCAGATAAACCCACCCCATTTTCCCTCTACCTCATTCAGGTCATTCACCACCAATTCTACCAAATACACCATTTTGCTTCCTGTATCGCCTCCATCCTCTCTGCTTCTTTTACATTCTCCCCTATGCTTTCTTCTCTGTCTCCGCCTGCCCTCATCTACGTTCTCCCCTCCTCTATGTCTTATTATTTTCCCAATGAGTTTATTTCATCTGCATCCTCCCTTCATTCTCCGTCCCTCTTTTACGACTTCTAAATTATCTCCTTGTTCGACATTTTAACTTCCATATGCATGCGTTTGCCTATCCCTCTGCTTTTTCGGCCCCTCTTCGCTACCTTCTCCCCATATACCTCATATCATTGCTCCAACTCTCTAATTTATACCTTATCAGAGCTATCCTCTTTACGTCATTTATTCATCAACATTCTCCCACCATCTACCTCTTCTACCCTGTCTCACATGTCTACACTTCTTTCTGAGTTCATCTCTACTCCCCCCTATCTACTGCATCCACCCCATAGCTTCTCACACAGCTGTATTTTCTCTTACTCATAATGTACTTTTACCCCTTCCCTACTTTCTCTCCGATTTACCTCATCTACGTCCTTCACTACCACTCTCTTCTATCTTCTCTAACCCTCTTTATTTGCTCTTCGTCTATTCTATATCTAGATCCTGTCTATAGTGTCCGTTTGTAACGGTTTGTGGGTGCATTTCGGATTTTGGCAATTACTAGAATCAGACCGATCTGAGAGTAAACGCGTGAATGATTATTTTGTATTGAATTTGCCGTGTTGGTCCGTTTTATGTGCAATTTTTGATACACTGTGGTGATTTTTTTAAATCCGTGGTCCACCTTAGCACATTTGAGTGTCTCAACTCGAGGAAAATATTCGGCGCCTTTCGGTCTTTCGCTGAATCTGGCGTAGACGGATATGAGACGAATGCGAGGCTAATGTCAAAGGTCACGGATCTGCTGGGAAGCTGCGGACCCACGTAAGAAACATCTTCATCTTCTCAGTTCCTTGGCTTGGTTATCCTAGGAAAGGAAAAATACCAAGCAATACTGTGAGTTTTAGGAGGCATTATGTATGAATTAACTTCATATTCTAATCTGTAGTACGTGTAACGTGAATAACATGGCCTGATACCGTAAACGTAACTATAGTTTACCGTGTAGGATTGAAACAGAGAGAGAGACAGACAGAGAGAGAGAGAGAGAGAGAGAGAGCATCACCCATCACAGAACTGATGTGATGATTGGTTGTATAGACGTATAGTTTGTACTAGTACCACTACTACTACTAGTACTACTAGTAATAAATTACGTACGTACATGCATTATACTAGTTTAAACATTAGATGTATCTTTTGTTTATAATAATATAATTAAGTTTGCTAACGTATTCGTTTCCCGCGTTGAATTGGTTTTACTAAGTTTACACTAACCAGCAATCCTAACCATATAGCGACTAACCCTAGCCTATTTCTTAGTATAATCTACCAGTACCACTAACCACTATATATTATGGGTTGTTAGCAACGAACGTGGGAAGCTGTAGGAATACCATATAACCATCTTGATATAACTGTAATAGATGAAAAAACTATAACAATTTTACATTTAAATTTGTTTTGAAAAAATACCTATACCTAAGATTGTTTCTATGTGTGACACTAGCAGTGTGCTGTAGTTCGTACGTGTAAAGTTCTATCACTGTTTCTCATAAACCCACATTACCTCACATGGTTGAAAGAAATATCGTCCGTGAATGGAACAACTGTGAGATGTAATTTCTATCGCAGGCATAAGATGCACACTTCTTATAAACACAAACTGTGATGCAGGGTGCGAAATTAACGCGAGTCCGGAGTCAAATACTCCCTAATTTACTGTCGGACTCCCTGATTTGACATATATGCAGTATAGCCCACCTGCATGACTCCCTGAAAATTCTGCTATACTAACTAGTTCGTTCCAGAGCATGGCCTCGCGAAATTACCATATTTTTCAGCAAATTTTTAATTTTGAACTTTAGACTACGGACTCCCTCATTTTGCTGCGGACTTCTTTTTTTTTGAGGGCAGGGATTCATTCCTCCCTTGTTCAAAAGTTAATTTCTACCCCTGGTGATGGATTTCAATCTCGACGTATATTTATCAAATTAATTTGCCTACTAACGCTGATAGGGTCTATATCTCCCCCAGGGTACTGCCTGAACGTACCCTGGTACCAGAGCATATAAATCAACGTGATTTATATGCTCTGCTGGTACTATCTAATATGCCGGACCGTACCTCGCAGGCCTACTCCACTAACGAGTCTAGGGAGTCGCCTACGCCTACTCCCTAACCCTAACCCTAACCCTAACCCTAAGTAACCCCTAGTAACAAGGGCGCAACCACGTGTTGAAAGTTGGGTGGGTCACAAGCAGCCAATAGCAACGTGATCTGCGGGCGAGCGAATATCACGTATCACGGTTATTAGTCCGAGATTCCTCTGACCAATGCCCACACCGACGATTTTGGTGGTTTTGGTGTGGGTTAGAGATCATAGATAACGAGATATAGAGAGGGTAGATAACCCTAACCCACACCAAAACCACCAAAATCGTCGGTGTGGGCATTGGTCAGAGGAATCTCGAACTACACGGTTATGTACACGTATCACGGTTATATCACGCGTATACACGGTTCAATATCACGTATTTCAGCGTGTTGAGGGAAGTGTTGCATAATTGTGATGTCATGAATGACATTACTAGGATCATGTATACATAAAATACCAAAATGTTTTATTAATTAGATTAAGCTAGTAGTAAAGCTACACACAGACTGTGCTAACTGTGTGACACAGTTAGCATGATTAAGATGAAGAGAAAAATAATAATGATGAAAATAATAATGCAAAAAATGTCTGACACGTGAAAACAGAGAACAGTGTTAGAAACCAAATGTGACCTTCCTTGAGTCACACTTTGCAACAAAATCCTTTGCAATTGCTTCAATATCGATTCCAGAACACGTGACAAAAAACAATCGCGTTGATTGGTTCAATTGTCTTTTCGCCGTCACGTCAGCCGGCAAAAGTCAAACTCATTTGACTTTCGCCGTCGCCGTGAAACCAGGCCTGCGCCGTGCAGTGTCAGTGGAGACTGCGCCAGAAGATATCATAGATTAGAAGGTAATTAACGGTGCCGCGCCGCGACGCGCCGCTTGTGTGAAGATGGGCCTATATTTTGTGTGTGTGTCTATAACACAGTTGGCTTGCGAACGCGTGGTGAATATCGTGCTCGTTCCATGCACGTGAGATTGAATGTACTATGTAGGTCGAATCTAAATGGTATTAACAAGGGTTCTATTTAGATATCTGAATCTGAATCACAGTTATCACACTGCACTTGACCACCTGGGGTTTTATTTATTTTAACTTTCACCTGTGAAATATGGATGTTTCACGATAATAAACGCTTATCGGACTATTTTGGACCTCCCAGAAAATAAGGTCTTCCAGAAGTTGGGGAGGTCCACATAAAAGTCGGGGGGGTCGTGGTGACCCCCCCGACCCCCCCAGTGGTTGCGCCCATGTCTAGTAACCCTAACCTTAACCATATCAGATAGTTACCAGGGTACGTTCCGGTATACCGGACCGTAAGGGTACGTTCCGGTATACCGGACCGTAGCCAGGGTATGTTCCGGCAGTACCCTGGGGGACATAGACCCTATGAGACTATGAGCCCTACTAACATTACATGTTCTGGCATCACAACATAGGCTCATTGGACATGGGCTGTCAGTAAGGTATTCGACTAGTTGATTTATTTATGTTGACAAGTCCGTCTCAGGATAACACTTTTATTGCTTGGGTCAGATTCAGGTGTACGGTCAGACCTTCCTGTCAATTTGTGATTCCTGTTTAACACACTTAATTGTCAGACACTGGGTTTGATCGTATACTGTATACACCCTAACGTCAGCCATGAGAGACCTGTCCAGGACATCTTGGAATATTTCTTGAGTATGTAAGGGGATTGTGCACTACAGATTATTATTAAACATTGGCCATGCATTCAATGGCATTTTAATTAAAACTAACACCAGGCAATAGGATTTTTTTAATCTGTTAGCATCATTAACAAGTGACATGAGGGTATTGATATGATCATCACTATTATATTTGTTAGGTCTCTTGCATGCTAAAATTAAGATTTATATTAGCAGTGTAGTCAATTATTATACTTGATACATATCTGATAATACTGTTCATGCACTCGAGTGTGTTAAATTCATAACTAGGCGTATAATAAAAATTTAATCTTACAGGTAATATCAGGACTGTATAATTAAAGTTAGAGTTGTCTGTAACATTTTTAAAAGCGGGCATTAAAATATTGTGTGTCTAATGTGACAATAAATACGTATGGATTTTGTCAAACTGACACATTGTCATTGTCTGTTTCTAGTCAGGCAGTGTTGAGCAAGTGATGTTTTTTCAGCAGTCCCTAAATATAATGATAGAATTTACCATTTCCCTGGTGGAATTGAGAAAATTTCACATCCAGTTTAACCACCCCCTCCATGTTCAAATAAATTTACAGGAAGTGTTTATGTAATTGGTTTTAGTTAAGCTGGTTATGTAATAGAACTTTAATCACAGACCTGAACCCAGTTTTCTTTTATGAATCGCTCGTCTCTCTTAAAAACCTTCACCTTCAAAAAGTTTCCTTTTTTTCTAAGGCAATAAGAGCATAGGCAGAGTTTCCATTGATTAATATATTAGCCTATAAGCACTAAAAACGTTGAATGTATTAAAGGTTTGTGGTTACATCATACATGCAGTGGTTACATGTTATCAGGAGTGAATAAAAACAAAATGTGAATAGAATCGTTTATTTGTATTCACTCCTCAGTCCTGTTGTTATGTTGGAGGTGACCCATTGAAAACCATCATGCTCATTACTCTTCCAAAGAATAAGGTCTGAAAAACCAATGAGGAAGAGCTCGTTGTCAGAAACAAAATTAGTCTTAACATTAACTTTTTCTCTTAGACCGTTGACAGAAGTTAAGTTATCGATGATTGAAATTGTAGCAGGATTTTCCTCATAACAACTTACGTAAACAAAGTGATCGTCGGACGGTCTAGGAGAAATTGTTAATGTTAAGACTATATGTATTAGAACTAATTTTGTTTCTGACAACGGGCCCCTGGTCCATAAATCTTACTAATTATTTTGACTCATCATGACTTATCATGACTCTTTGCTTTTTACTCTGTAAACTACTGTTTTGCTAGGAAAACACTGTTCTAATTCTATGTGGCAAATAAGAACAAAACCCCAGTCACCACTTTTTACAAATATGTAGCCCCCAATTATTTTAGTCATAGCTGTAACATGTATTATATTGGTTTATGGGGTATTAGAGTTTCATACTAATTCCCAGTAAGTATTGTTTCTCTAACCAAGTATTTTACATTTTCTCTCTCTCTCTCTCTCTCTCTCTCTCTCTCTCTCTCTCTCTCTCTCTCTCTCTTCTTCTCTCTCTCTCTCTTCTCTCTCTCTCTCTCTCTCTCTCTCTCTATATATATATATATATATATATCATAGTGGGCTTATTGATCATCACGCGTGCAAGCGGTTACCTACTGTGGATTGTTATTGAAATATTTCTGTGCCGAGCTGCTGTTGCCAGTCGTGCGTTCATGATCATTACCTCAAAAATAGCTAAAATGCCGCTAGAGAGGCGGTTTCGAAGCTTAAACACCATGCTCGCATGTCATGCCAGGCATTTGTGGCATTGAAACATATAACAAAGACAGACCGACTTAGAAAGAATGACCCACTCGTGTCTATGTGGCCCATATTCTACTTTCACTGGTGTCCACATTTGTGAGAGTCGCGGATAACAAACCGCTTGCCTTTTCAGGGTTTTCCTCTTCACGGTTGCGCTTATTGGAACATATACTGTCAGTGGCATTGAGAGCTACGTGTATCGACGTGCGAATTAGCAGTAGTGTACTATTAGACATCTACCGTGGAGCACCAATGCAATAAATAGATGAGAAATCTTGCGTAATGATGACGTAGGGCGTCGTGACGTACGTATATGCGCGTGCGTTTGTGAGTTATTCCGAAGCAATGAAACGACCAGCGTGAGTCACTGGATGAGCTGTGCAACGCAAATCTGTGTCTGAGTTTATAGGAGATGTGAAAGTTGAGCGATGGTTTGTGGTTTTATTCTATTGCTGACTTAACTTGAAGCTTTCTCCAAGGTTCTGAAATGAACGTAAATAGGTATGTCATTATGAAATAATTTTTAATATAGTATAATCAGGAGGTATAATGTATAGTGCTATAAACCTATATATAATATCAGTGGTTAATAATGACAAATAATAATAATTTGTCATTATTAATCCCTGATAATATATATATATATCAACAAAACCTGATCCTCAGATTAATTAGAAAGCGAGCTCTGTATACGGATATTCGGTAGAAATAGATTTCATTTAATCATTTATTGTGGTTTCCGTCTATGATGTCTGCAATGCAGTGTTTGACAGTTTGGAGTCCTCTTCTTTAATCTTGAAAGTTTTCTCATTTTGTAATTGTTCAGTTGAATTGCAATGCAACGACAGGAAAGAACTCTGTTGTGGCAGACTGTGTTTTGTCTTGATTTTTATTGTACGAAATTAGGTGCTAATGTTGTTGGCATTGGTACCCATGTTTCATACTATTGCAACAAAACCTGATCCTCAGATTAATTAGAAAGCGAGCTCTGTATACGGATATCCGGTAGAAATAGATTACATTTAATCATTTATTGTGGTTTCCATCTTAATTATGATGTCGGCATTGCACAATTTCGTGCTGTTGCATTTCTTTATTTTTTATTTTTTATTAAGTTAGGTGTTTACCTAGTATGTCGAGTTATGTGCGGAATGTATATCAATAGGTGCGTTCACACTGGCGCGAATTAGTGGGCTGCAAAACCCGGTTTTTGTAGCTCGCTCTAAAAACTGAGCTTTTTACAAGTGTGAACGCAATTAGCTCACTAAATCGCGCTCCAAATAGCCCGCTCCTAAGACCACTTCCGACTGGGCTAATTTGGAATCAGCTCACTTATTTGCACCGCGGCGATTAGCGAGATATTCGCCTGTGTGAACAACGACACAATTAGCTCACTATTATCTCCGATATTAGCGGGCTGAGCAGCGCGGTTTTTCTTGTGTGTGAACGCGCCTAATGTAATCACAAGCCTCGTTATATGAATTCCTGATATCGAGAGCTAATAAATTAATAATACATTATTACAGGTATGAGTGTTATTAGCTCTCGATATATATATCAGGAGTAGATAATAGGGAATAAACCCCAGTGTGAAAGCGGCATTATACCACCTGTGGCCCTGGCAGCAGCTGTCGCGCTGCTACCGGCTGTTGCCTGCTCTTCACTCACTCGGCAATGCGCCTAATTAATGAGCTGAAGCGCAGCGTCGCTACACCTACGTTCGCACATGCAGCAATTACTAGTACACCCCCGTGTTTATCGGCACACGTTTTGCGGCGATTGGAGCCGAAGGTCTTCCAAATTAGACAACGCGCAACCTAGAAAACGGCAGAGAGCGCTTCAGTTGTGTGAAGTTGTGAACAGATGTAGCAAGAGCATATAGCAAGAGCATGTAATACAAAGCGTGTAGTTTACACGCTCTTTGGTGATATTTGATTATAAATGATATAGACGAACAGATTATCTCCTATTATCTGATTCAGATAATATATATATATATATATATCAGGAGTAGATAATAGGAGATAATCTGTTCGTCTATATCATTTATA